TTAAAAAATTCGAAAAAAAGCCACATAATTTCTACGTGTACAAGTCAGACCAATTTTTTTTTAAATATAAATGCCACATCAGCTTTTTGGCCGGAATTTTGGCCGAAGTCACTAAAGTGATTTATTTTCCTCCGATTTGACACCAAAGTGATCCGAAAAAAAGTTATGGCACCAAAGTGATCTCCATACACAACTTATGGCACTTCTGATGTCCTTTTGCCGATTTTTTAATAGTTTTCATTGACAGAAATTTGACGAAGGTAAATGTGTTACACATGTACAAGCTTGGAATTTTTTGTTACGAAAAAAAGTTTAGAGTAAATATGTTACAGTGGGTATAATTTAGGATTTTTTTTTATTAATTGAGTATGATCGGGGGGCGGGGTAAATGCTATTTCCACCTTCTTTATTACTAGAGCGAGTGCAATAGTTAATTTTCCTTGTGCCATAAAAATGGCGAATCCTAATAGATCTGACGGTCGAAATTGAATCTAGTATGCATATGCTAGATTCACGAAATACTTGCTCCCGTTATTGAGAGAACACTTTAGGAGAGCCACAAACTATATTGAAATAAGTTCTAAAACAAATATATGCGATTAGGGCTGTAAAAAAAAAGCCCGGTTCAGATCGGCCCGACCCGAAAATTTGGGGCCTTTTCGGTTAGGGTGTACTTTGGTTCGAGTAAGAGCTCAAAAGGTCGGGTATTATCCCTATTTCGGACAGAGTCGGGCCGGGTCAGGATTTTTGACAGTCCTTCTTACACTCACATCTATACAAAACATCACAACCACCAAGTTGCTACGACACCCAAAATGCCGAACCCAATCAAAAGCACCAAAATCATATTTGGTCTTAACTGACGGAATACATAATTAGTCTTACAGGGAACAAGCTCCAACATCCTAGTCCAACATCCCCATCAGACTAAATAGGAAAAATCATATTTGTTTCAGGGTCAAGATTTACGAACAGAGAACAAGCTCCAAGAAAAATACAGTTGATAACAATTCCACCAATACAAATCACTGGGCAAAAGGACACTATAAGTGCCATAAGTTATGTACGGATTTCACTTTGGTGCCATAACTTTTTTTCGGATCACTTTGGTGCCAAGTCGGAGGAAAAGAGATCACTTTAGTGACTTCGGGCAAAATTCCGGCCAAAAAAAGAGCCACGTTAGATTTCCGGCGAGCCACGTCAGATTTCCGGTGAGCCATGTTAGCATCGAAAATTAATAAAAAAAGAGCCACGTCAGATTTCCGGCGGCCATGTCAGCATTAGCACTAAAGTGATCGTTTTTCAAAAAAGTTGGCACCAAAGTGATCCGAAAAAAAGTTATGGCATCAAAGTGATCTCCGTACACAACTTATGGCACTTATAGTGTCCTTTTTCCCAAAGCACTGTCACTATCACCCACAACAAAATCTCCAAGAAAAATCATTCTAAAATCATTTTATGCCCTAACTGACGGTACAAAAATGGTACCTCCTTACATGAGCAAAGAAAGTGGCGAGCAAGAGAGTCGAGTGACTGGTCTGAGCGACGGGTGAGCAACTGGTATTCGCTCGAGCGAACTAAGCGAAGAGGTGAGCGAGCTGGACAGGACTCTTGTGCGAACTGAGCAAAGTGAGAGGTAGATATAGGGTTTTGGGACGCAGATGATAATCATTCTGTTATTGAACCCAATTTCTGGTAATAAATAGATTTTCTTTTTTCTATTCCCTGAACGAATTGCTAAGCTGAAAGTAGCCTTTATTAACGACTCAAAATTTATGTTCCCAGTACAAAAATTTGTTTAAAAACGTTGATGTAGAATTCGTACATCGGCGGGCGATTGCCGTGGTGGAGCGGGTGGTGGCAGCGGCAGCGGCAATCGGCGGGCGCGGGCGCGGGCGGAGAGGGCGAGCTCTAAGAAGAATTGTTATTTCTATTTCTAGAAAAGTAGAAAAATTCTACTTCTCATTTTTGCTCAAGACCTATTTCCAAGCTAAAAATTTGTCTTAGAAATAGAAAAATGAAATTGTCTTGTCAAACGGAATTATGTTGCAAATTTGTTTTCGGGAACAAAAAAATAAAAATATATATAAATAAATAATGATTATCATTCGCGCCCTCGATTTCTTAAAAGGGGCAAAATTGGACATCCAGTAAGTTTTGGGGGCAAGAAATGCAACAGACAGAATTTCGTTAATTATGGAGGTCCCAACTTTAGAAAGCAAAATCAAAAGTTCATGGGCCAACACGTTAATGGTGGTTGGGACAGTTGAGCTTGAATGAAACTTTCCTTCCTCATTTCTACAACATCCTGTGGTGTTAGTCGCCTCTCATCTGAATTGCATCTAATTTCAAGAAAAGAATAAGAATCTTTTTCGAGTGGACGTGATGCATCCACATGAAAGAAACCCAAACCTGCAAGCAGAAGCTGAGAATTTATGTTCTTCCAAACGCTTGGGTTTCATTGTGGGTGATGAAACAACGTGGTTGGTGTGGTTTTAAAATCGATTGTAATTGTTCCAATGGACCAGTTCGTGAGTCCAACGTGACCAGCCCCCACGAAACTTCAGCCTTATGTTAGAAGGTCTTTTTCTAGTAAATGCAACAGTTTGTATTGACTCACCGAAAAGTTTAGCTGAGCTGTCGGAGGGATCGGTTCCGACTCGTTGCGAACCGCGGTGTTTTCTGTCCAGGGTAACCTTGAAGGGCCATGTCCGTTCTATGATTGGAGCTTTACCTGATGCACGTTGATAGAGTGAAGAACCACGGGTTCGCGGTATTGTAACAAAGCACACGCCGATTTGCTATACCTAATGCTGCGTATTAGGTAACCAAATGGAGCCGTTCATGTCTCTCCAAATACGTAAAGTTCATACAGAGTCGCCAAATCGACAACAGAACATTCAGCAGTCTGATGCAAAAGCCCCATCACAGGCGATCTCTTTCGCCTTTTTGGGCATCGACACTGAGTACTCATGCTTTGCATTGTCATACTACATGTTATACTGAAGCATCCTAGATCGCAATCCCCTACCATTTCCACTAGCAGAGACCGACTTCTCATGCGTGACAATTTCACAGAAAGGAAGTACCCACCGCTATCATTAATGAATCTGCAGTGAGCATAAACATTTACCTACATCTGGGCATTGTATCTTCAGCATTTTCAGTGACCTCAAGCCTTTCCCGCTGACCTTTCTACGGCTCTAGCCGAAGGATCATTTGTTCAAAGGGCCACTTCACTAGGTAAGCAGTATGCATCCTGAAATGCAATATTCAGAATCTGCGTTTAGATGCTACTGCAAAAATTGACCGACTTTCATTCCAAAGTGTTCGTTTGATGTAGAAGTCGATTCTCTCTAGTCTCTCCCTTGTAACCATCTTACGTTTTGAAGGATATCACCAATTTTGAAGGAGAGAGAATACCGTGAGCAAGACAATTCGACTAGAAAGAGATGATGGTCATAACTCGTGTCAAGCAGCTTGTCATATAAAAAGCAACCGTTCAACGGGAGATGTGCAAAGCATAGATTCACCAGAGACGGATATCTGTTAAACTTGGTAAACCAAGCAAGTCTCTACGAACTACATGAATTGGACGCACAGACACTAAAAGCTGAAGAGATTAATAAGCCCGGGGTTGAAAGAAGCACATGTCTATAAATTGAAAGAAGGATTCAACTATTCAACTGCTCCCTTTTTGCCCGCGAGTGATACCAGAGTTCAATCGTTGGAGAGCAAAAACAGAAATTAGAATACCATCACTCTGAAGCTCTCTGTGTTACTCTCAAGAATTCATTTTCACAAAATCCTACATGCAGTTTATATGGGGAAGTAGGCCTTAAACAGACACTACTCCCAATAGTTTGACGCCTATTGATCACAAAATCCCTAAGAACATCCATTTGGATCGCTCGTCATACTATCCCTTTTCCTCTTCAGTCCCTAGAAATCATTCATTACATCCCGGCACAAACTTGGGTGCATCTGTCAATTAACTACGCATCTTTTCCTCGCTAATCACTGTGTTCAAGATCCATCAATCATCTATACAAAACCGCTGATTTATCTAAATCCATTCACGATATGATTCACCAAAGTAACAGAGAAATAGAGCTGTCAAGAACCAGTCGCTCAGTAATTTGCTTTAAACAATCCACGCCAATACCCGGAGAAAATTCTTCCACCAGTCATTTGGTAACGAAGTGTCTTCTGGTGGGTCTAGTTATTTCACTCGACGAAACCATAGAAACCACCTCCATTGGCCACAATGACAGCTCGCAAACAAGAACCGCGACGCTCGTTCTCGTGCTAAACCCTTGGACGGTTACCAAATGAGACAATTCCTTTAAGACTTTGCAGCTCTTCGGGGAAATATGAGACGCACCTCCTTGAAAAACTTCCTCTTCCAAAAGACGAAGCATGCATGAATCCCATTTCATCAAAGTCGCCGTTGAACTTTGCCTCTCGAATTGGAATTATGTTAATAAAAGTCAAATACTCTGCTTCTTCCATATTTATAACCCATCTTCCGAATTTGACTTAATAGACAGCTCTTAGGCTCTAATCGAAGTAGCTGAATGTGAACGCCACATGAATCACAAGCGCTCATAAAAAATCAAACCTTGAGATATCAAATGCTGATTGCTCACCACAAATAAATCCGTGTAAGGAATGTCAATCATCTCATACTTGCTCCTTTGTCAAATCTACATTTACAGAGGAAAGTCAGCGGAGTTCACCGTCATTTTTCTTTCAGCTTCAAATCCCACTATCAGGAGTCCAAAGCAATTAGCAACTAGTCTCAAACCGATGACTTTTCAGAAAGATCACCGGCATGTACATACAGAAGTTGTTGCGCTCTCGGTCGATCTCTTGGCTTTTCCTCGCGTTCAATCATGTTAATATGAATCATTTGTTTCAAGTCAACCAGCAAGCAACGTGGATGGAATCACAGAATCTCCAAGAAAGACAACAGAATGTGCAAATGGAATAACGAATCAGGAGATTAAATGATATAATGAATTAAAGAATGGGGCAAGTTCTATACATGTACAAAAGATTCTCCCTAAAAAGGATCCACATTTCATGGGATCTCCCACCAATTTCATTGGTTTCGCTGCTCTGAACCTACCACTAGAAGTTGAACATGCTAAAAGAATCAAGGAATAATTAAAATGAAAAAAAAGGGGGACACCATCCACCCTAATTCACGTTCCTCATATCTGATGATCATAGACCTTGCCTTCATGGCTCTTGAGCAAAACCTTCTCATCTACAGTTTTGCTATTTCTAATCTTCAAAGCACTTTGAAGGCCACGAGACACGTTCTATGCACGTTGTCTTTCAGCTGCATACCCATTTTGTTGTTGCCACAGTCTTTGAACCAATAATTCAAGAGCTTCCTTCATCCACAGCTGTTGACACATTTCTTTCGCTTCGTCGGCCGACACCTGCAATCATTGCCAATTTAATTCACATCCAGACCAAAAAACAATTCAAACAGACTGCACCACCGTGCAAATACGTACCCATCGTCTTTGCCTGATATGCTCCTCCGGCCAAGAATCGAGTTGCTTCTTAACGAGTAGAGGGAACATATGGCCATCATGACAGCTGCCATTGCTTTTGCTCTTATATTGCCATTTACCCAATTTACACTGCAATTTTCAAACCGCGAATCAGCACTCAGAAAGCAAAATCAAACCGAATTCCATCGCTATCTGTATATAAAATTACGAAGACGAACCTCGAGAGTGCCCGTAACCCCGGCTTCTTCTGTTGTTTCGCGCAAAGCGGCCTGCTCTATAGTCTCATCCATTTCCCATCCTCCCTGTAGTCACATTGCAACGCGAAAACGTTCAATTCCCTTACAAAGATTCGATCACACAACTACTAAGAAATGGGTAAGGCCGTCATTTTAACAGTGGTAAATTTCGAGACTTTTTTTATAGTACCTTGGGAAACATCATTCCCTTGCCCTTCTGTGAGCTAACGACAAGAAACTCCAATTCTTCACCCCCACCGCCAGATGATTGGTCGGTCTTCTTGTATCTGTAGGGTATGCATCTGCAGGAGTCAACGGTAGAAGAAACGCGTCAAAAATTCGAGCTTCATCCCGAAAACATCAGCAACAAGTTACGGAGGCACACAAGAGACCAAAAAAAAATAATTGGAAAAGAAAAAACCCATTACAAAACAAATTGGGCAAATACCCAGATTTCCATTTTCCCTCGGCTGATGAAATCGCCGCTAAAGATCAAAACTTCACACGCAACCACAAACTCCAGGAAACTGCAGGGAGATTTTGCGTACAGAGGAGGGAAGGAGGAAGAGAAACAACGCACCCGACGACTTGGCGACAGCCTTTGTCGTAGCGCTGCAAATGCCTGCCCGTGCGGGAGACCAGGGAGACCACGTCCTCAATCTGGACGGGGAAGATTTTGACGGGCATCTTCTTGGCCGAGAAGGAGAGGAGGAAGTTCACGAGGTTCCTGGAAAGGAACAGACCCATAGCGACCCGGTTTCTTTCTTTTCTTTCTTTCTTTCTTTCTTTCCCCGAGAACGATCGACGAACCTGTGTGTGGCCGAAAAACACTCGCGGATTCTGATGGGGGGAGAGAGGAGGAGGAGGAGGGAGAGGAGACACGAAACGACAGGACAGGACAGGACAGGACAGGACGTGACGGTATTTTGCTATCTTGGGACAAACCCAGAACGAAACCACAGCGAAGCTCGAGCTAACAAATATCCGGAGAACGGGTGTGGACATCAATGGAAGTTGGATGTGCGTGTCCCTCGACTCTCCCCCCCATTTTATAGAATTTTCGATTTCGATAGGGGAGGAGTGGGGGAGGACGACGAAACAGAGAGAGAGAGAGAGAGAGATAGAGACACGGAGGAGGGAGAGCCCACACGCGCGTATCGTGGCGAGTGAATGGGGGACGGTTGATAACAATATTTCGGGGGACGAAAAAGTTGAACCCTTTTGCCAAAAGGTTCCCCCCGTCCCAGACGGTTGCTCCTTTTTGGAATTGTTTGGTCTAGATTATCAAAGTTGTAATTTCCTTTGCTCTTTTTTTTTATGCCTTTGCCTCCAATTAATTTACCAAAAAGATTGTGAATGACTTGTTTTAGATCTTGGGCTTAATATCACGAAAAATTCCAGACTGATACATTTATGACAAATTTATCACAGATTGATACACTTATGATAAATTTATCACAAATTAATTTTTCAATCACCAAAAACCTCAAATTGGTATACGTTTGACAAATTTACCCTCCATTAGTTTCCGTTAAATTTTACCATCAAATTGCTGAGTTGGATGACACGTAACAGTTGATGATGTTTTTGGCGGTCAAAAAATCAATTCAGGGTAAATTTGTCACAAGTATATCAGTTTGAGGTTTATAATGGCATTAACCCTAGATCTCATGAGCAAAGAGAGCTTCGGCAAAAACCCAAAAAACCCATAAGCAAATAGATTTGTCATAACTCTCTCTCTCTATATACTAATCTTTGGACTGAGCCTAATTGGGGAGGCAAATAGGATTTGAAAAGATTTGAAGTTAGGACCTCATGCTCTGATACCGTATGAGATTTTATGAGACAATTGCCAACTATTCTAAAAGTTTAAACTGATAGATGAAGGCGTGATTTATTATTTTTATATTCTAACAATAACCCATTTCCTTACTTAATCGAGATAAGTAAATGCCTAAAGTATTTATTCTTCAAAGTTGATCGCCTGAGGTCGGACTAACCTCATAAAAAATCTCCACAAATTTCTATCAGCCCGCCGGTCTCCGGCCCCGACCCCGAACGTTTTCGCACCAATCCCTCTTTACACTTTCTCGAGCCGTGAACGAGGCTTTGGATGGTGGTGGGATCCAAACCGAAGCGAGTCAACTTATCATAAACGAAGAAAGAAGACTGGGAGGGACACGCGCGACGAGGGGGGAGAGTGGGGAAACGGCGAAGGACGGACAGGGGACGTGGACGCGTTGGGCACGTCGCTGTCGAAGACAGGAGTGAGAAAAGCAGTGTGTGCGAGGGACGGGAGGGGCCAGCACTCGGTTTCTTTCCTTTCGTTTCAATCGTTTAAGCGTTAAAGAATCAAGCGTCGTCGTGCGCGTGTGCGTCCACCCCTAATGCTCCAACTCGGTGTCCCCGCGATGCATCAAACGCGCTTTCAGCGTTTTACCTCTGAACGAACGAACGAACGACCGACCGCGATGACGACTACGGTGACGATGACGACCGCGACCACTGCCTGGGCTGATCCGTCTCTCTCTCTCTTCGCTTCACTGCCTTTTGTACCGTAAAAGGGCACGCTCCCCTTTTCGTTCTTAGCTGCGCATGCATGCCCGACCCATCTCGCCTGAGCGAGGCGAGTGCTGTCATGAGCGCCCGGTCGCTTTCTCCAGGCCACCGGCATGGCGAGAGCTCTGCAGGTAGTCGTCGCGCTTTAGTGGAATCCGATGGATACAACGTGCTTTGCTCGCGATGTCGTCTGTCATATTCGATGTTTGAGTTGACATTTCGGATTTCGAGCATCCTTTGCTAAGGTGTCGACTGCTTGGACTCGCTCGCAAGTCAAAGTACGTTCCGCCCTCGATGTTATCCGCTCACGCAATGCTCTCGCCTAAAACAAGCATTACATCGGCATCTCAATGTTCATCAAGCGGGTCGTATCATCCGGGGCTCATCCAGCTCATGCTCCACATTTCGATCGCGACTCGATTCACCCTTTCCCCATCTGCCCATCTCAGAAACTCGATAGGAGTCGCAACTTATTCGAACTCTCCTGCCCTTATCAGATCGGGCGATCACCGAGCGCTACGACCCAATTCGCATAGGGTACCGAATCGTGGGGTGATGGAGAGTTCTCGTCCCGCTCGAGATCATAATCACGGACACAATCGGCGCGCATCGAGTCAATGCTAGATCATAATTGTCGCCTATGATGTTTGCATGTGGGTTGAAGCCGTTGGCGTGTCACGTCATTCCACCTTGTCCTCGTCTTTCTCCTGCCATCTCCCTCCCCCCATTAATAGGACAAAAAGGCCATGTTCTGCTGAACAACTGGCCTTCACATGGCCGCGGATTGCTTCGGGTTCCCTTCTTTGCCCAAAAAATCTCCATCGCTTTCGCCCCCCGCCCACCCAAAAAACAAAAAGGACTTGGTCAATAGCCGGAGAGGCCCCATTGAATTGAAGCGGTTGAACCGAAAAGGGCCTTCCCTATCCATCGAGTAGGGCTAGGAATCCGATAATAATGACGGAGGAAATGACGGAATGTGACGTTTTTAATCTATGAAACTTATAATTGTCGTTCCCTCGCAACTCGCGGGGCTCGGATTTCGGCGGCAACCGAAGTTGATTAGAATGGAAATTGACGGGACTTATATTATGTTAGTTATCATAGCCGTGCATGTTGCGACGGCTCCATCCATTCGTATCAAGCCTAGAAAGTCATTTCTCTTTTCAATTAGGGATTGCGCAACAGGAAGAAAAAGCCAATAGCGAACTTCGTAACATTAGTCTCCGGGTGTAGAACACCAAAAGATTTGATTGCGAGGCTCGAAGTGTATCGAGGTGGAATGCGCTCGTGTCACGAAGTAAAAGAGATTCTCCACTACCCGAGGACCGGATAATGACGAATATTGTTAGCGATATTAGAATATGTACCCTTAATTTTTCACATCTCTCAAGTTTATGCATATATCTCATTTGATTGTGCATATCCCTGATTGATTATAATCGGTATTATGTCTATTTTATGACCTTAAATAGTCATCTAATAAAGCTTATTAATAAGCTCTTGTACTCTTCATCATGACACATATCGAAATATACGGAAATTCCACGTATCGTCTATCGGAGCTAGACGATCTTGAGGTGCACATCGCAATCTCGTCTCATCGTTCTCTTTCAATAACTACTGGTATCGCTATCAATTACCCAATTTGTGCTTCCACTTTATATATTCTCTTCTTTCTTTCCTATACCCGAAAGATAGGCAAGGGACTCCTGGCCTCATATTTCGGTCAATGTTGATTCGTACACAGCGCGCCCAACTCTGTATATGCTTTGACCTCTATTATCTCTTTCTTTCATGTAACGTTTTACTCGAAAAGGCGGAAAAAGGCAGCGTGGGAGCTAGTTTGATTCCCTTAAACCTCTTGAATTAGCAATCTAGGGTTGGCGTGCACGATTCTTGATCAGTACATATTTAGGTCATCGGTGACCGCATGAATTGCTAGAACATGTAACCACTTCTTATAGGGTCAATTACGACGGGTCCGGGGCGTACGACCGAGTTCGAGCAAGACAAATTCGGTACATAATCAAGCGCTCACGCGTCGAAGTGAGCTAATTACGTGCTTTCGTGCTTTCTTAAACGACAGCAGCCATGGAGCAAAACGTGAAATTTTACGCGATCACGGCCAATCATTACAAAAGTCTAATCGGTCCGATGGAAAGCACGATACGGTGGCGGAGAAATTCTAATATTACAACACGGAAAATGAGCAAATTGTCGAATTTTAATTTTATTTCGGCAAGTATGCTTATTTGGTTCACTTTATTCCGATATCCTATATGCTTGTCGATGAATATCAAACGATACCATATCTTTCTTTTCCTTTTTCATTTTTTGTGTTTCATGTCAATGTTCATAAGTGAAACATACAGACACAACTAGCAACCACTTAACAAGTTGCCCATGAAACCAAGCAATTGGCATTTGTCCTCACTTGTGTGGTCGTGCATTATTATGTCCAAAAAAAGTAGGACGCAAAAATAAAATAGTGGAAACATTTTTTTTGTATCATTAAAGAGACAAGGCAATGAGGGAAGAGAACAAAACCAAAAAAAAAAAAAGCATGACCTTAGAAAAAGTTTGATGGACGTGCACTAACCTTTTCCTTTATCCTCTTGTTCTTCATCCTCATCATCATGCAAATTGCAATTGGGAACAAATGCAAATTGGAGCTCTTTTGACTCCTTCTACGCGGACCCAATAATTGCAAATATTCCTACCTCGATTGACCCATTATGTCCTTTTCTTAACAATTCTAATTCGATTATTTTTTTGTGGGCGAGGAGTGCCAAAAGAATCTAGTGATAAGCATAAAGCATCTAAGCATCGTATGCCCCCATTAATCATAGGAATCCAACTAGGGTTTTCTTTGTGGGCGACTTTAGACAGAAATCATATATTCTGTCCATCGTTTAGATTATCGATTGAAATCCTCCGATAGATTCGTTGCGTGGTTAGACAAGAAAAGAACGAGCTACATTGCACCCCGCGTTCTTATCGCCACGTGAATCGGGGAGTGAAGAATGAGCATACCCTCCTCCATAAGCTCGATCGTTTATGAAAACCTTTCATTGAAGTTAGGCGAACATCCCCATAACTATACGTGTGAAGTAGGGTGAGAAAAAGGAACTGCCCGGATCGGACCTAACCAGCCGATTCCGAGTGGTTCCTGAAAGCATCGGTCCAATTCCTGGTTTCATGAGTAAAACCGCCCACCCAAATCACTTGGGACTGGATTTTTTTTTTTTAATTTCTTACAAATATGTAAAAACTTAAAAGGCATAATCTTTCACAACAAGGCTCGGTCACTCTCTGGCATGCACGACTCACTCTCTCCCTCTTTCACAAATCTAAACAAAAACCCTAATCTCAGTCACTCGCACGCTTAATTTGCTCGCCTCGCACTTACTCGACTCTTGCCACCCTCTCACGATCTCACTCTCTTGCTTGACTCTTGCCTCCCTCTAGCAGTC